CAGTGTTAACATCAAATACACATGTTTAGTACCTGCAAGTGCTAAGGGTTATCCTCTTCTTTCCTAGGAGAAGGAGAACCCTGTACTTCCACTCCACCTTCTGTTTCCCTCTGTCCATCCACAGGTTGCCCAGATATTAACCCAACATCTGCACACAGCACCTGCACACAGGTCCAGAGGGTTCTGTGGGTGTTTCCAGAGTGTCCTCAACAGGTGCGTACTAGGAAATTAGGGCCCAAAAATTTGCTGTGGGAATCTCATCAATGACTCCCACCTCTTTCATCCCACTGCACCCCAGTCAATTAAACATGCACAGGATATGTGTGAATGGGTTTCCCCAACTCTGGTAAGGGTACAAAACTTTTCCAGGATGATGGCTTTTTCTTCCATCAGCTACGGTCAGACTAAGATGATCTCTGCTCCTTGTCTGGAAAACCAGTTTTGGTCCAGTTGCTAGCAATGACTAGTAGCAGGTTGGCATTGGATCTCCTAGTTTTCCTACTGACAAACAGAATGGAGGAATTGCTGTTGGCCAGCTGGCCAGGTGATGTTGTCGTCTTCTGCTCAGGGCATTGAGTCCTGAGATGTCCGGGCTTTCCACAGGTGTAGCATCTGAAGGAGTCAGTTGAGGTTAGCTTGACATCAGGAACTGCAGGTGCTGGTCACTGGGGGACTTGGCTCACAGGTATATCAGGTGTTGCCATGGATAATTTCCCTTTTTTCCAGCCATGTAGGGGAGCCCTGCAGTGGTTAGATACTGAGGTGTTGATATAGGTATCTGCCAACTCTGCTGCCAATTTGGCAGATACTGGTTTTCACTCTAACAGATTAAATATGTAGTATTAAGGTGACTAATTATTGCTTCCATTCTGACTAAACATTTGAATATGTTCAGGTCTAGGGATGGAAGCTGTACCTATTATGGGTTACCAATATCTACTATACACACATAAGTTAGGGTTCTCAACCTTAGCTTTCTATCACTCGGAGTATCCCCATTGGATAGATGTATCATGCACTAATAGCTACAGAACAGGTTATAGGTCCCATGATTAGGTTAATTGTCTGATTGATGGCAAAAGCTTCAATTCCATATGTATTGCTGATTGTGGGATATTTCCTCAATGAATACCCCATGACTCTGACCTATAAGCAGTATGCTATGTCTCTATATTGTGTCTATCATGAACATACATATGAAATGGATAAATTAGGATCAGGACCTCTAGTGGCTGAAGTTCACCAAGGTTTTGTCTTTGGTGCAGATCAATGCTTATATGTGACGTTCACTATCTGTGACTCTTTATACGTGATACTTCTAATGGTCTGTTTTGTGTATAGACCTGATTTGCATACGTGGCCCCATGATTTGGGAGTTTTTTTCTTATATGTACAGTGTATTACCTTAATATTGGCATTTGGCAATATGGTTGTCTTTATGCATAAATATAAATAAACACCTTGGGAATGAATGGTTTAGGGATCAAACCACTGGCCTTGCCTGGGTACCTTTTATGGAATGTCTCATGCCTTAAATACAACATTCACAACCTATTACTCTGTATACAGTATGTTATATTTCTATTAGTCTTCTTTAAGAAATAGGATTTGTTGCAGAAGGTTCTGCATGATTCGTGCATTATACACAATATTACACAATATTATTTGAATTACATTAGGGATGCTCCGATACCGGTATCGGTTTCGGTGCTGATACCGAGTATTTTCATGAGTACTCGTATACACCGATACTTTACGGTGCGATTTGCAGTAAAGGACGCAAATTACACCACAAAAATGCGATTCCTGTCCAAACCGCATGTCATAGCCTAAGTTCACACAGGAGTGGTGCGGGAAACCTCCCTGCAGGCATCCTATGTTGAGTCTCAGCGGTAGTAGAGGAGAGTAAGTGGTAGGAATTTTAAATCCCCGCAGCTTTCTTTCCTCTCCTTGCAGCGATGACAGTTTGGGCTAGACTACCACTAAGACTCAGCAAGAGATGCCTGCAAGGAGGTTTCCCACACCGCTCCCGTGTGAACTCGGGCTATGACAGCCTGGTTTCACATAGGAGCGGTGAGGAAACTGCATGTGATTTGGACAGGAATCGCATTCCTGTTCAAATCGCATGATATTCTTTGTGGTGCAATTTGCATCCATTAGCGCAAATTGCACCGCAAAGTATCGTTAATTGGTATCAGTGAATACTTGAAAGTATCAGTACTCATACTCGCCGATAAAAAAACGGTATCGGTTTTTTTATTCCTCCTGATGACACCAAAAATGGGGCACTATTCCTCCCACTGACACCAACAATGGGCACTATTTTTCCCCGTGTCACCAACGCTGGTGCACTATTCATCTCCTTAATGCCAAAGATACACTGTTTTCTCCCACTGATGCCAGGACAATTTCTACACAGTCTGGCACCCCTAAAGTCAGTAAACTGGCTCTTTGTTAAGAAGGTTTGGAGATCCCTGTTCTATACAGTAGTATACAAGGCCAGGTTACCGGAGAGGCAGCCAGGTCATTCGCATGATACTTACCCTGCAGCTCATTGTATGTGCAGGGTTATGGCCAGTATTTCAGCCTGTAGATATTTTTTTTACTTACTATCACTCTTTACCTTATGCCTGATTTGGTTTGTTATGGTACTAGATTCAAAAATAGTCAATACATATCTTTTATATGACCTTAACAACAGAACATTCTGTAACAAGTCAATATTAACAGCTTTACTCTGCACGCTCTTTGCTGCATTTAAGTCAATATAAATGTTTATTCTGTTACTGCTATAGGCTCCTTAAAGGGCAATTATGGCCAAAGCTCTTTTGGCCTTACTTCTGTGGGTCACAGGACAGCACTTAATTTTGCACTCCTGTGGACAATATTCAGCCGACAACAGGCCAAATCCTGCATTTGGCTGATGTCAGAGCTGATCCAGGCTCTGCAGGGATTCACCTAGCCAACAGGGATCCAACAATAATACTGGAATCCACCAAAATGTCTGACAGGAGGTTGGCTCAGCCTCTTAATGCACCCCTGAAAGCAGCTGTTCTCTCCCCGTCCAGAGTCTGGTGCTCCAGTGAGCACTGGAGGGACAGAGCACAGAATGACATTGCTCAGAGAGGACCCAAAAACTGAGTGATCAACGGTCTTTGATTGCTCGGTTCTCGGGCCAAAGCTGACAGGGGACAGCTGCAGCATTGGATCATTGTCTATCTACTTCTTCCTTTATTTTAACCTAGTGGTCCTGTCAGTAACACACTCCGTGTCCTAAGGTTACAATTTTTACTCACTGTACTGTGTATACGGAGAATCAGCATTGTAAACCTAGGAAAGGACTACAGAACAGCCCACCACCACACACACACACTTCTGCACAACATAGAGGAGGGATTTTCTTTAGTTCTCAGAGATGGCTGTGAACAATGTAATTGAGAAGAGTCCAGCACAGAGAGCACAGGAAGTTGCCAGTCAACATGATTTCTGGTAGAATAAATAGATATCTAATAGATATAACACAATGCTCTCAATGATATATTTAACAGAGAAAAGGGAGCCAATAAAATAGGGTTTACATACACTATAAAAAGCTAATTTATAAATAGGTGAATTGTGATTTTCACCAGTGATTGGGTGTAGTTTGATCTCTTTCTTGCATGCCAAATTTGTGAATTTAAAGATTACTTTGGTTTTGCTTATGTACAGGCAAACTTGTAATTTTCAGAATCCACCATTTCTGCCACAGTTAGGCATACTTTATGCAAAATCCCCCATATTATGAAAGGATATAGACAATGAAGGGGTAGATTTACTTAAGTAGTAGAGCGTATTCAATATTTACAAAGTTAATTTTTACTCAGCTAGGTGAATGAGGTGGAGCTAAGTGAAAATTCACTTTGCAAAAAACACCCAGATTATGAGCAAAGAAAATTGTAAAAATCGGATTTGTGCTTTGCACAGTGAACATGCTATATACCTTAAGTAAATAAACCTCCATGTGCCATTCTGAATTTTGTTTGTACTACCTGTTTAGGAAAGCTCTAAACATTTTATTTGAAAAAGTTGTCCACTTTCTCTACTTATCAGTTTATCACTACAAAAGAAAACCTTTTTTAATGGGTTTGCTTTTCTGAAAAATGCAATTTTTGCAAAGTACTGCAGTTTCAGTAAGTAATTTTTACCGTAGTACAGAAATTTCTATGTGCAGTTTGGCATTTTCAATGTACACCTTTTAAGCCCAATGAAATGCTCTGTATGTATTACTGCAATTCAGACAGGCTGGATAAAGTAATAAATATTATATTTGTTTAGCTTTTTTAATTCCTAAGTGCTGCAACAAGGGTTAAAATAACCACAGAGAGTTGGACCTCTGCTCTCGCACACAAGCAGAGGACTGGGTTTCCCAGCAGTTCAACATGGCGCCCTGTACACTGTTTAGAGAGTGCTGTTAATTGGAGTAATGTGCAGATGGGAGTATCAGACCACTAGAAGTTACAGAAGTAAAAGTGCAGAATGATTGGAGCCCTGTATATTTAATGGCATCAGCATGTTAGGTATTTGTGTTCTTTTTGATTAATAAAATTTGCACCAGCTTCTGATTAATGAGTCCTGGTCTTCCAATGAAAAGCAGTGTTGTGATGGGTATCTATGGTTATCTATAGTTGTCTATGGAGAGAGAAACTTTGAACACACTTCAGGCTTCTGCCCACTTGGCTATAAAAAAAATCTCTGATAGGAAAGCTCAGCAGCAGCTAGTATTTCACAGTGGGCCAAGTGTCTTTCATCTTATGAGTAATCAAAGCCGATCTGTAAAAACCATTCAAAACCTATAACCATTTTATTTTTATTGTAAAAAACTGTAAAAAGTGTGATATGGTGCTGTATATAAGAGTGCAAACAATTTATTCATTTTAATAACTTTATTTAACATTATGATCAGTGACCATTTCTTGCAAACCATTATTAATACAGTAAGAAACTGGAAGTGATCTATGAATTTATCTGTATTTAGAGGTCAGAACACCAGAGACAGTATGGATGAACTTGTCCCAAGCAGCATGGGCCGTGGTATCAAAGTCATTTGGTAAGTGAGAGGCCAGAACAACCAGGATACAGTGAGACAAAAGCTGTAAGACAAATATGTATTAGCCATTGTACGAAACTTCCTGGAATGTAAATATTATGAATGCTTTTTGAATCACAATGCTTTACTCATGTAATAAGGCAATTCTTTGATTTCAGTATGTGTGTGTATATATATATATATATATATATATATATATATGTATATTGTGACAGTGCGGTGATCTGTCAAGAGGTTAAAAGGATATTATGTCACGCAGGATTCTCAGCAAGGCAGGAGGAAACCCTGTTTTCTGTTTTCTCAGTGCTTAGTAAAACTCTGTAGAGGATCTGAAGCCTGGAGATTTCATAGTGAGGGTGTGAGGAAATATCCACTCCTGGGACCATGTGTTAGGAATAGCCAGGACACTGATTATGCAGGTGGGTTCTGAGCTTTTTAGAGAGTCAAGACCAGGGTTCTGGGTTACAATTACCCAAGGAGTCCAATGGTTTTTGCACATAACAGTCTTGATCCTCCTCTTTGTCCCTTGCTATGGAAGGCTCAATTCCAAAACATGCTCTGTGTGTCTATTTCCGCTCTCTGGTTGTAACTGACAGCAGCAAGAGCCAATGGCTCCTGATGCTGCCTCTCTGGCCAGTAAGGAGAGAGAGACCCGAGAGAGCTGCTGCACTCATGCACATCGCTGGATTGAGATCGGGCCCAGGTAAGCATTGGGGGGGAGGCCTGGGTTTATGCTGCCTACAGAAGGTTTTTTACCTACAAAGTCTCTTAGCCATATAATAAACTCAAAGTGTTTCAAATTTTATGCATAGTTATGTTATTACTCCCTATACCAGATTTGTTTTAACTGCTGAAATAATTATTATGCCATATAAAATTATTCTAAGGCCAGCCACACATGAACCAGCCAAATTTTGGTTCATGTATCTGCAGATCGACTTCTGTAAAACCGCCCAGTCGGATTTTTGCAGCTCAATCAGCGCTGTCAGAAGGGAAGTCTCCCCTCTGTCAGAATACAATAGATCAGCAGGGAGGATTCCCCTATTCAATTTGAGTGTGTGGATTGGGGAATCAAGTCATTTTTTTGCATGTATGGGCTGCTAAAGAGTAATACATAAATTACTATTCTGAAACAACACAATGATTCTTAATTACCTCAAAGTTTCCTGGGTCCACTCTTAGATTGTAAGCATGTAGGTCACTAATTTTGGCCAAGGCATCCTCCAAGTTGTCCAGATGTTTTGCAGCCTCTCCAAGGGCACCCAGGACCTTGCCACCATGTCTACGTAGATCAGTAGATCCATGTCTCAAATCCAAGTGGTTGAAGTAGGTCTTGGTCTGAGGAAAGCTTAGAAATAGCCTGGAATCAAAAGTTAACATTTAGTTAAAGCAAGATATGTTTATATAAACAGATCTACTCAATTAAAGCATCCTTGTCATTATACAAAAATGCAGCAGCTAAACACATATGTTTCCCACAGCTGCTATTATTACTGGCAATAGTGATCTTTATTGGTAGTAGTGATAGATGACTTTAGCCATGCCTTTTAGTGACCAGTCATAGCCATAATCATTTATTATAAAGCTACTGAATGCAGGGCTACTTGTCAGATGGAAGACCTGCCAGTGCTGGGAAGTGCATCAAGGCATGCCTTATGTTTTGTGTGACAGGATGGTCATAAGTAATATGATGCACAGTGCAGGGGGAAGCCAGCTCCCTCTTCCCAGCTGTTCCCAGTGTTTGTCCATCTGAGAAGCAGGTCTGCAATGTGGAGTATTGTAATTAATAATATGTTCAGTCACTCTAAGTATTAGCAGCAATCATAACACACTAGGCTTCAAATGGCAGCTTCTCAACCCTAAGCTTGGGCCATAGCAACACATATACACATTTTTAGGACTAAAATAGTTAATGAGATTCTAAGATCATCTATTACATTATCTTCACATTTCCAGAAATGTTGTCCCAGATGGATATAATGGCAGCCTTCTCAGCAGCAGAGAAAGTCATTGTATTGGTGATTCATTAGTAAGCTAAAGGTTGAGCCAAACTCAAGGCACAGAGGAGGCTCAAGAGTGAGCAGGAAAGAGTGCCCCCATAGCATGCTGCTTGGGGGTGCTCAGCGGAGGGGGGCAGGAGTGCCAGTGGGGTACCCAAGAACAGGAGGTAGGGGGCTGCTCTCTGCAATACCATTGCACACAGCAGATAAGTATGTCATGTTATGTAAAAAGAAAAAAGAACCTTTAATATCACTTTAAGCGCCAAGGTGCCTTGGCCTAGAAATACCTATGGACATGACTAAGATAGTTACTATCCTAATGAGATTCTAAGATCATGTGTTACATTACCTTTCCAAAGCTTCGGCACCAAGAACATTCACATTTCCAGAAATTTTGTCCAAGGTGGACACAATGGCATTCTTCTCAGCATCAGAGAAAGTCACTGTAGTGGTGATTCATTAGTAATCTACAGACTGAGACAAACTCAAGGCACAGAGGTGGCTCTGGAGCGAGCAGGCAAGAGTGCCCTCATAGCAAGCTGTTTGCTGTGGGGGTGCTCAGTAGGGGAGGGGGCAGAAGTGCCAGCGGGGGATCCAAGAAGAGGAGGTAGGGGGCTGCTCTCTGCAAAACCACTGCACACAGCAGATAAGTATTATTATTATTATACAGTATTTATAATGCGCCAACAGTTCGCTCAGCGCTGTACATTACAAAGGGGGACAGAACATGCGACAGTACAGTAACAATACAATGCAAAACACGAGGGGTTCGAGGGCCCTGCTCTTTCGAGCTTACAATCTAGGAGGGAGGGGATAGTGGTACAGGAGAGATAGCTGTGGGGGATGGAGTGGTAGGAAGAGTGGAGGAGGTCGGCAAATTAGCAGGGAGTGGGGTAGGCTTCCCTGCAGAATGGGGTTTTAAGGGTGTGCCTAAAGGAGAGTAGAGTAGGTGATAGTCTGATGGGTTGGGGCAGGGAGTTCCAGAGGATGGGTGACACCCTGAGGAAATCCTGGAGGCGGGCATGGGAGGAGGAGACCAGGGAACTAGAGAGAAGGAGGTCTTGTGAGGAGCGGAGTGTGCGTGTTGGGTGGTACTTGGATATTAGGTCGGTGATGTAATTTGGGGCAGTATGGTGGACAGCTTTGTACGTCAGTGTTAGGATTTTGAATTTGATCCGTTGCGCAATCGGAAGCCAGTGAAGGGATTGGCAGAGGGGAGTGGCGGAAAAAGAGCTGTTGGTAAGGTGAATGAGTCTGGCTGCCGTATTCAGGATCGACTGAAGCGGGGATAGCCTGTGGCGAGACAGGCCAGTGAGGAGGGAGTTGCAGTAATCGAGTCATGATATATGATGAGGGAGTGGATGAGCTGTTTAGTGGTTTCTGGGGTTAGGAACGTGCGGATTTTGGCGATGTTGCGGAAGTGGAGTCTGCATGAGTTTGTTAATGATTGGACTTGGGGCTGGAAGGATAGGTTGGAGTCCAGAATGACACCAAGTACTCTGGCCTGCGGGGCGGGTCTGATAGTGGCATTGTTGAACGTGTATGACATGTTATTTAAAAAAAAAAAAAAAAAAAAACTTTAATATCACATTAAGCTTCAAGGTGCCTGGGCCTAGAAATACCTATGGACATGACTAAAATAGTTACTATCCTAATGAGATTCTAGGATCGTGTGTTATATTACCTTTCCAAAGCTTTGGCACCAAGAGCATTCATTTTTCCAGACATTTTGTCCCAGATGGACACAATGGCATTCTTATCAGAATCAGAGAAAGTCATTGTATTGGTGATTCGTTAGTAAGGTAGAGATGGAGACTAACTAAACTTCTGCTCTTTGCAGCTTGACTAGTATTTTATAAAGGAAGGGTATGCACAATTTGGCATCTTTCCACCTCTATTGGTCATTTCCAAGTAACACCCAAACATATCTGCTGTGATTATCAGAAGCTGAAAAGTGCTGCCTTTGTACTATTATTGTACAGATCAGCTATAAAATAAATATGTCAGAAAGTGTTCTATAGAACATGTACTGTTTTTACAGTGCAAGTAAACATACTGTATATTTTATATTTAAAGAAAAAAATGGATCACATTTTTTTAATGGGGGGGGGGGGGCAGAAAAAGGTGTAGTGAGCAGATTACTAATTGTATTTAGTTAGATTGTCTGATGGTTAAAGTAGCTTTAAGTAGAATTTATGAAATTCAACAGCATAAATTTCATGCTTTAATGGAATCATCATCATCATAAGGAGAGCTGTTTTCTAATTTAGCTAAGATTTTCTGACTTTTGGGTAATAAAACAGAATTTATTTATTTATATTTGCAGTTGATATCAGGGTCACATATCTGAGATAACACAAAAAGTTTTGAATAAAAAAAAATTATTTAAAAAAAAACAAACAATATTTTCTCATTTCTGTCATAAATAATATCCAAAAAAACTAAAATGTCATAAATTCAGGCCAAAATGTATTCTGCTACATGTTTTTGGTTAAAAAAATTCCCAATAAGTGTATATTGATTTCTTTGTGTAAAAGTTATAGCGTCTACAAATTATGGTATAGATAATGGAATTTACACAGCTTTTACTTTCTGACTGCCCATCACATTTCTTGAGGTGCTAAAATACCAGGAGTACAAAAACACCCCCAAATTACCCCTTTTCAGAAAGTAGACACCCTAAGCTATCTGCTTAGAGGCATATTGAGTCCATGAAAGATTTTTTTTTTTTCCCCACAAGTTTCTGGAAAATGACAAAACAAAATATTTTTTTTTTTCCACAAAGTTGTCATTTAAATGATATATTTCTTGCACAAGCCATGGGTATATGTGGAATTACACCCCAAAATACATTCTGCTACTTCTACTGAGTATGGGGATACCACATGTGTGAGACTTTTTGGGAGCCTACAATAAACAAGACTCTAAGTGTAATACCCCAAAGAAAAGTCAACCTTTCACCCCTGAAAGTGCAATTATCAAAACCTTTTCTACATAACCTGTATACAATATTAATCTTCCTGTAAGTGACCAACGTGAGTCCAAAGTGTCCACAACAAATATAGTCCAAAATGTCCACAGCAATTATTATTCAATCTTCTGGGAAAATCCAGGATACCTCAAAATTAAATAAAGAAACTGCATTAAGTGCATTACCCTTAATCAAAAATATTTTTATACAAACCGCTCGTGAGAAAAAAAAAAAAGACTTTTTAAATTATATATTGTGAATCAAAATACACAGCCCTCTGTGAAACTAAATAAACATTGAATACCACACTCAATACTTCAAATTATAAATGAAAAATCCGTGACCTTCCACTCGTGAAATAAATCCACAGCAAATTACACAACCTGTGATAATGTGCTCAATTTAGTGGTTCCACACTCTAGTAGGATTCAATACAATTACCCTCTCTCTGCTTAAAGCAGCAATGCAAGCATTCCAGGGTAATTATAGCTTCCTCCTTGCTGATATATCCACTTCAGTCTCCCCCGCTCCTCATAAGCCAGAAAGGACAAGTTCAGTGGAGTGTAAAAGGGTAACACATAGACTTTATTAAAATCTTACATCGAAATAGGAACCGTCCATCCTTCCAGTAGTTTACACAGCCAAATTCCAACAAAAAAGATGGCCGCGCCGCTCCTTCCGGTATTGCGTCTGATGTCACGACACTGACGCGTTTCGTCACTTCCGACTTCTTCTCAAGGGAACCTGACGTCTAGAATGCGGTTCCTCTTATCCTGTTCTAAATTACTGGGTGAGCCGGTGCTTCAGCCTCCGGTCTATGCCCGGTGACACCGGTCGGATCTTCATATTGCGGTCTGTATGTCTGTTCCCGGATGCGGTGGTGATGGTGGGCCCCTTTTGCACCAATTACTGCTTCAATGCGGCGTGGCATGGAAGCTATCAGCCTGTGGCACTGCTGAGGTGTTATGGAAGACCAGGATGCTTCAATAGCGGCCTTCAGCTCTTCTGCATTGTTCGGTCTCATGTCTCTCATCGTTCTCTTGGCAATGCCCCATAGATTCTCTATGGGGTTTAGGTCAGGTGAGTTTGCTGGCCAATCAAGCACAGTAATCCCACGGTCATTGAACCAGGTTTTGGTGCTTTTGGCAGTGTGGGCAGGTGCCAAGTCCTGCTGGAAAATGAAGTCAGCATTCTCATAAAGCTTGTCTGCGGAAAGAAGCATGAAGTGCTCCAAAATCTCCTGGTAGACGGTTGCATTGACCCTGGACTTAATGAACCACAGTGGACCAACACCAGCAGATGACATGGCTCCCCAAATCAACACAGACCATGGAAACTTCACACTGGACTTCAAGCATCTTGCAGTGTGTGCCTCTCCATTCTTCCTCCATACTCTGGGTCCTTGGTTTCCAAATGAAATGCAAAAGTTGCTCTCATCAGAAAAGAGGACTTTGGACCACTCAGCAACAGACCAGGTATGTTTTTCTTTAGCCCAGGTAAGACGCTTCTGATGTTGTTTGTTGTTCAGGAGTGGCTTGACAAGAGGAATACGACATTTGAAGCCCATGTCCAGGATCCATGTGTGTGTGGTGGCTCTTGATGCACTGACTCCAGCCTCACTCCACTCCTTGTGAAAGTCCCCAACACTTTTGAATGGCCTTTTCCTGACAATATGTCAGGAATGGACTCAGCACTGGTGGTGGGACTCACCTGTCGTGTGGGCTGCAGTACCAGAGCTGACCAGCGGGTGCTCTCAGCAGCCAGAAGCTCACTTCTGCAATCAGCCAAACCTGGGGCTGATTGCAGAAAGGTGTATTTAAGGCATGACCAGACCTGTGATCTGGGCCTTGGTGTATGTTTTCCCATGAGCCTCTGTACCTGGTATCCTGTGTTCCTGCTTCGTTGCTGACCCTGCTTGATCCTGACCTCTGCTGACCGTCTCCTGTTGAATCCCTGGCTTGCCTGACCATCCTTCTGCCTGATCCCCTGTACCACGCTGCCCGTGAGTTACTGAACCCGGCTTGTGACCCTGATGATTCT